TTCTAAGATCGTTATTATTGGGAAATCAGCATGGTTTCGCAAGGAGGAAAAATATTACAGATGGTGGTTATGTCCCCAGACAAGTTCACAAAGCAAACTTAACCTTGGATAAGCCTGAAGCATGTTATTATATTAGTAACACCACAGAACCTAACCACCAATATCTCTGCATGGAAAAAAATCATCTAGTGTTTGAGGCAAAAAGACAGAAAAACTGGCAGGGAGACAAATGGGAGGCCTCTTCTTCTTAAGGACACTACAAATTCTTAAGATTTTGCTGTATTTTTAGAGAAATACACAAAATCAGTTTCCTGAATATTTCATTAAAGGATTTAAAGAGAGTCTGAGGTGAGGCATGATGAGTTAGACCAGATTGCAGAGATGGGGCTTAGCAAGTGGTAGCTGGAGGTTGGACACATAACAAAAGCCATCCACTCTCCTTCACAGCTCCTCCAGCAGCTGTTCTGCCATTTCAAACCCAGCCACAGATCAACTCTAGGAGATCACAAATGAGACTGGGTTGGTTTTTTTTCTCTTTCTTTTTATAGATAAGAGGGTTCCAAGCAATGGAAGGATCTGGAAGAGAATGGGAGGGGAAAGGAGTTTCTGTGTGCATTAGGCATTCCCAGTTGGACAGTGGTAGGTAAATGATACATATAGTGATGTACATATGTTGAGGATGATCTTCATCAGTTTCAACAACTAACATCTTTGCAGAGCAATCCTTTACCCACTGGAATCCTCACTGTCAATCACAGAGGCATATCCAATCACGAGTATTTGAAAGTGTCTTTGCTATAATTATAGTCTTATGTTAACTACACGTATTTAGAAAGCCAAATTCTCTCAGAAATAATTTTAAACTGTCATAATCTAGCATCAATCTACTAATTCTAATCTTAACCTCAACTCTAACAAAGCTGGAAAGATAAGAGTCTGTCCTTATCAATATTATGGATCCAAAAAAATGAAGTAAAAAGAAAACTTATTCACATCTCATTATAGGTGAATGGCATTTTAAAAAAATTTAGATATACTTCACAGACCACAAAATTCACACATTTAAAGTGTATATTCAGTGGTTTTTAGCATGTTCACAAGGTTGTGCAACCATCACCACTAATTCAAGAATATTTTCATCACCTTAACAAGACATTCTGTACTCATTAGCAGTCACTCACCATTCTCTCCTTCCTACAGCCCCTGGCAACTACTAATCTGTCTTCCACCTCTATGCATTTGCCTGTTCTGGAAATTTCATATAAATAGAATCACATAATACATGTTGTTTTGTGTCCAGCTTCTTTCAGAGCACAATGTTGTCAAGATTCATCCATGGTATAACATGTACCAGTAATTCATTCATTTTATGGTATGGAAATACCACATTTTGTTTATCCACAAATGACATTTTCGCTACCTGCGTTCATTAGGAGCTCTCGGGAGTACTCACAATTCAACTCAAGACACATCATATATATTCACATCCTAATCTCTGAGCCCACAAGATTACCAGTGTTTTACTTTCTGTCAGTTTATAAATCATCTCATACATTGTAATCTTCATTGTATTGTGTCTTAGTACTTTGGTAAATAGTTCTTGGGCTTTCTGCCTAGCACTCCTTTTTCTAGAAATTGCCCCTTCCATCCAACTTTTATATGGTTAATGGGACCTTACTCCTGTCTTCAAGTGATTGGTCCAAGAATGGGCACCTGATCGAAGCTGGACAAATCAGGCCCTTCACTGCAAATGTGGAATTGGGAGCAAGATTCTGTTTCCAACCAGCTGTTCTCTTGATTGCAGGAGCTACAACCTCAGGAGCTTTTGGCTATTACCATTATCTGCCATGTAGACTAAGAAAACTAGTCTGCAAGAAGAAAGAAAGAATCAGACACAAGAGAGAGGAATAGCAGAGATAGCAGACGGAGCAAGAACTCCTGGGTTCCCCATGGTGCTTCAGTCCCTGACTCTAAGCCATTCCTGAAGTCCAGCTGCATCCCCATCCTTGGACAACAGGACAACCTATGCACTTATAATCAATTCCCTTACTGCTTCCGTTAGTTAAGGAGGTTCTGGTAATCTCCAGCCAAGAGTCCTCATATAACCACCTACCCAGTAAGATCTTAAGCTCTTTATTAGCAAGGGCTCAACCTCCATAGTACCCATTACAATGGCTCACACATACTTACTTAAATTATCACCCGTGGAATAATTTGGAAAATTATCTACAAAATATACTCAAGACATTCTTGGACAATGAATATCTAGAAGATAATTAAGATTCGTGTCCATTCTATAAAAAAGCTATTTTATTGTATCACCAACTCAATATATCTTTGCACTTATTTTGCAAAAAATTATTTAATTTCCTCAGAAATGAAACTATGTTTCTATTATACTACTACAAGCCCATTTGCACTTGCTTGATAAATGTTTTTCAACCTTTTAAAAAGCAAAGTGTTATGTTTTCCTGAGAAGATTCAAAGTTTCTTGAGAACAAGTAATCTTTATTGGCTTTTTAAGCAAACTCCCACAGAATGTACTGAAGAATAACATTCAGAGTACAGAGCTATATGAGTAGCTGACCTTCCAGCAACCATTTTCTCCTCCTGCAAACAGGAGATATTGTCAAGCACTAATAATTCCCATACGGATAACGTTACCTGTAATTAAACGATACCGTGCACATGTACTTATTATACAATGTAGGTTGGGCAGGCGATGAAACATTCCTTAACTGACAACTGAGGAAATGCAGTGTTGGTAAGCCTGCTCTCCTGCCCCAGGCTGAGGGGTCGCCTGCCAACACTGACATCTGCAAAGTTCATCCCCCGCGTCTTTCTGGGAGTCTTCTCTGCATTTTGCAGTCTTCTTCCCAAAACCAAATCCAGGATTTGTCACCTAATTGGTTCTTAGTGGGGATAACAGAGATAAAACTAAAAATCCAAAATATGTTCTTAAGTCCCTGTTAAAAATTCTATAGGGATAAATGGGCTAATCCTTCCAAGTCTAAGATTTGGTTCCTGAGTGGACTTTGTATAACACGATTTAATGTCACAACCTTCCCTCAGACATACTTAAATTTGTAAAATTAGACCTCTAATATTATAAAGTCTTACAGAGATAGAATCCCCTTTAAATTACTAAAATATTCCAATGAGTACAACTTGTTACTGTATCAAGCACTGGGGCAGTTTCTGACGGACTTGATCCCAAATTTCCTTCTCCATAGCTTGAGAGAACTGTGTTGGCCAGAGCTCTGAGAGACAAAGTACTACTTACTACCGCCCCCTTCCAAAAACAGTCAAAACTCTTAAGTTTAAAAAAGGGCCCACACTAGGATTTGCTGAAGTTTCCTCAGACTCAAACCGTCGGGGCAGGAAGCGCCTTTGGAAACTGATTTTAACTCAATTATTTTACAAATGAGGAAATGAGGTGGACAAGAGATAAATAACTTGCCCAAATTCACGGATAAGTTGGTAAAACCAGCATTCTCAGAATAAGGGTTTTCAGACTCGCAGCTGGAAGCTCACTTCCTCATACCATCTACCTAAAATATGAAAGTATGGACAGTATTGAAATCTCTCTGCTTTCCAAGGGACAAAAACAAAAACTACAATGTTCTGCTTTCAAACGTGAGGGTGAACAGCTCAAGTATCACATCTCATTTCATAGGGGTAAACGTTCCTTCTTAAATATTCCTCCAAACATCATGATGGGCGTGCCTGGAGGCTAATACCAGATCTTCTCTGCAACCTGAAGGGTTTTCACCATAATGAACCATGGTAGTTATTGATTTCGTGTGCCCAAAGCCATCCCCATCCCCCTTTTCCATTAACAAAGTCTACAGTCCCTTGGCCAGAAGGACGGGCAAGTGTCCTAGACCTGGCCAATCGAGTATCTCACATCACCGGCACGAGAGATGGGTCTAAGGAAGGCCAACTGGAATCCTTCCCTAGAACCGTGACAGATGCTGAGAAAAATGAACTCCCTCCCCATGTCCCTCCACGAGGAGAAGGCGGTCTGCAGGAGGAGAGCCTAAGATCAACACTCAAAGAGAAACACAGCTAAGGAAAGATGAGAGATGGAAAGAGAGTCTGGCAATGTCAAATCTTTAGTTCCCATTCCTGAGCCAGTTCCTTTGATTTTCTAACTTAACCCTATCATCTTTGTCAACTACAGAAGCCAGGAAATTCCTTTTTCATTTAAAATAGTTTGAACTGGGTTTCCGTCACTTATAACTCAAAAATCCTAACATATACTGACCCCAGGAGACAGGACTGCATATATATTACCCTTAACACAGGGAAATTAATACATTTTTGTTAAAAAACTTTTTTCTGATGCCTTTAGCCAGGCTCTACAGTTTCTTTTTTTTTCTAGATTTTTTTTAAAAAAATTTTTTCCTTTTTCTCCCCAAAGCCCCCCAGTACATAGTTGTATATTTTTAGTTGTGAGTCCTTCTAGTTGTGGCATGTGGGACGCTGCCTCAGCATAGCTTGATGAGCAGTGCCATGTCGGTGCCCAGGATTCGAACTGGCAAACTCCTGGGCTGCCTAAGCTGAGAGCACAAACTTAACCACTCAGCCACGGGGCCAGCCCCCTCTACTGTTTCTTATATGTATCGCTCCTGACACCCTACACTCACCAACGTCACTGTTTCCAATATATACCTGGCCGCTGACAGCATCTGAGTTTGCTAACACGTCCCTAACATGTCCCTAGAATTTTTTAAAATCCTAATATAAGCTTGTTTCATTTGATTTCCATAGACATTGAACGTAAAATATATTCTACGCAATTCAAGTTAAATGAGATTTTACTTTCTCTAGAACATCAAAAAGATAGTCTAGGTATCAATATTATAGTATGCTTTGAGGCAAGTTTTCAAAATTTAAAGCAAATCCAACAGAAATATCGCTACTGCAATATAATTTAGTAGCATGTTTTTATTTTATAACAATTGAAACCAGTAACACTGACAAGTCTCAGGACCTACCTCCAATAAGGCACCAGTTTGGAAGAATTTCAAAGGCTTTTCAATGGAATAATAAAGGCTGTGATAGCTGCCCTTCGCCAGGTATGCTCTGACCAGACCAACGGCTATAACGAGCCACCTAAGAAAAAGAGGAAAAAGGGCAATCAGGAAAAAAAAAAAGATAAGTAGGATTTAAGGTACTAGAAAGATGTGGCAACCACAGATATTGCTAAAGGTGACCTCAAGAATCAGTGTCCTGGATTTGTCAACTACAGCTCTCATATACCAGCTGAAATGCACAGAAATGTTGCACCACCAACAGCACCCGACGAAGCGTGCTCTGCAAAAGCACAGTGACACCTCACCCATCTGGGGCTCGGCTTTTTGGCAACCTTGCCTGTTGAGAACAAGGCCAAAATGAAGGGAATAAGCTAAATCGGTCCTTGTGCAGCTAAATTAAGTGCCAGAAAGTCTAAGACAAGAGAAAAAAACTGTTAGAGGAAAATTTTAAATGGCCTGTGCAGTTAAAAGGTCTGTAGTAACAATAATAGGGTGGAGAAAAGATGTTTTAAACTATTTTTACAAGTATCTCACAGAATATCTCCATACCTTAACACCTATCCTTTTAAAATGGCAAATGAAATAAGAATAAAAGGGTTCTTTTGAGCAGAATTTCCCAAAATCAATTCAGTAAAGAAAGCCAGGTCAATACAAACACAAATCAGGAAAGCTCTTAGGCATATCGCTGTGAATGTTGTATTTCTGTTCTATGTCCCTCTCCAAATGAAATTTCTCAGGCCCTGTAATTTTTTATTTAAGTTCCATGATGAAAAGAACGGACCTTTCTTATTAAGTTATGTCTCCTTGAGAGCAGTTATAGATTTACCTAAATGTACAATCTCAACTAGGCAATGGGGTAGATGGTCTATGTTATTGGTAGAAATTATCATACAAGGACATCAAATAAGAGTTTATAAGAGAAGAAATGATTCCCTAAAGGTGTAACTGGTCCGGTATTAGCAGCCTACAAAAAAGCTTACTCTACTCTCACAACCCCAGTTTCTCTTCCTGGTTTCAGACACCACCCCTTACCCTCCACCCCATTCTCTATGCTCATCACCCAGGAATAAACATCTTTCTCCTTCTTCCCCAATAGACCTTAAAATCTCTCCAGTCCAATGGTCTTATCAATGCCCCTGATGAGACAAGAATTTTATATATACACACACACACTCCTGTTCCTTTAAAAATCACACTGTAAACATGTATGTGATAAAAAAAACTTGCATCTGTAACACACTTCTTCAACAGCCTTGAGTCCAGAGAAACAGGTTCCAGAGGCAGACCTACTACAGCAGTCCTCCCCTTATCCTCCGTTTCGCTTCCCACAGTTTCAGTTACCCATGGTGGTCAACCATGGTTTGAAAATATTAAATGGAAAATTCCAGAAACAAACAATTCATAAGTTTTAAACTGTGTGCCGTTCAGAGTAGCCTGATGAAACCTCCCACCATCCCGCTCCCTGTCCCCCAGGAGGTGACTCGTCCCTTTGTCCAATATATCCATGCTGTGTACCCTACCCACCCATTAGTCTCTCAGTAGCATCTCAGTTATCAGATCCACTGTGGTGGTATCGCAGTGCTTGTGTTCAAGGAACCCTTATTTTACTTAATAATGGCCCCAAGGCACAACAGGAGTGAAGCTGGAAATTCAGATATGCCAAAGAGAAGCGATAAAGTGCTTCCTTTAAGTGAAAAGGTGAAAGTTATTAAGGAAAGAAAAAAAATTGTATGCTGAGGTTGCTAAGATTGATTACAATATTGTTATAATTGTTCTATTATTAGTTGTTAATCTTTTATTGTACCTAATTCATAAATTACACTTTATCATAGGTATATATATGTATAGGGAAAAAAACAGTATATACAGGGCTCAGTACTATCTGCGGATTCAGGCATCCTCTGGGGGGCTTGGAACATATTCCTCGAGGATAAGGGGGGACTACTGTGCTTTCTGTGATATCAAGCAAGTTACAACTTCTCTGAGCCTAGGTTTCAACACCTGCCATTTCTAAAACTAGCAATAAAGCCTATGATCCTCTCAAGATATTTTTTTGTGAAAAAAGCAAGGTGCTGAAATGCTAATATGACATTAGCATTTGTGTTAAAAAAACAATGGGTGGGGGAATGTATATACACACATGCTTGTATCAGCATCTTAAGGATACGCAAAATGAGTGCCTCCAGGGAGGGGACCTGGAGGGAAGAGAAGGGTGAGACAGAAGAGTTTCGCTGTATGCTTTTGTGTATATTTTGAGTTTTGCACCCTGCTAATGAATCACCTATTTTAAAAATAAGTAAAACTGGATGTTCGCTATACAGTTCTTTCAACTTTTCCGCATGTTTGAAAATTTCAGAATAAAACGTTAGGACTAATTTTTTACAAATGAATACAATTCGAAAATACATAACGAACAGTCTGACCCTGTGGTCCTCCTGACCAACACCACTGGATCAAAGAACTGGAGGAAGCTGGAGATGACCTAGCCCAAACTCTTCAGTTTTACAGATGAAAAAACAGAGACCATGAGAAATAAAGTGATTTATCCAAGGTCACACAGCCACTTAGTATCACAACTAGAGCTAAAAGCCCGCTGTGACAAAGGCTGGAGTGAAATGAGGGAGAAACAAGTGGGGGTAAAACTAGTATCGAGGGTCTATTTCCCTCCTCCCCAGTAACTCTGCCTTCCACCCCTAGTGCCTTCCCCACCCCAATCCATCCTAAAGAGTCTACAGTCATCTGAAGCACAGCCCTGCTCATGTCACTGGTCAAAAACTTGGAACGCTTTTCAATTACCTCTCAGATTAAAGCTCAACCTGGATTTTGAAAACAGCCGCCTAAATAAATGGTCCCTCTGCAGCCACAACTTGCTCCACTCCCCTCGGGGGCAAGAGCTTGCCTTTCGTGACTCGCCGCCCCGTTCTCCGCTGCGCTGCAGGATCGCCCAGCCCCCAGACCCGGACCTGTGGCCCCCACCCCGAGCCGGCCGCCCAAGGCCCTCCGGACCAGGGCCCGGGCAGCCTCACCCGTGCCCCCTGGAGCCCCGGAACTCCAGCTCGGGCACAGCGGCGCCTGCAAACTTGCTCGGCGCCCCGGCCGGGCAGGAGTCCCGGGCAGGCACCCGGGCCGGGTCAGCGCTCGCTGCCCTCGGCGCCCAGGTTGCCGCTCCCGGACCCCCAGCGCCCGGGCTGCGCTGCGCGCGGGCCGGCCGCAGAGGCCCCTCCCCGGCCAGGCTCGCTCCCCGCCTCCCCGAGAGCCAGCCTCACCCGGCCGTCATCACCACATTGTAGATGACCAGGTACGCCGTGGCCAAGGGCCCAGGGCCCCTCTTCTTCCGCGCGCCGCCAGCTTCGCCACCCCCGGCCCGGCACCCGCCGCCCCCATTCCCCTTCGTCGCTGCAGTCGCCGCGGCCGCCGCCATGTCAAGCGTCTAGAGCCCGCTCCTCCTGCGCGAGCATCACCGCCCGGACTCGACCCTGCGAGGGGCGGAGCGAGGGACGGCGGGAGGCGGGGCCGCGGCCGCGGGGCGGAGCCAGGGACGGCGCCCACGGCGGCCGCCATCTTGGGGGAGGGCAAAGGCGTTCCTGTCGCTTCCCGCCTCTAGGTTCGCCTCAACCGCCACCGCCATCTTGGATCAGGGTCACAACCGCCTCTTTTGCGCTCCCGGTAATAACCTCTGGCGCCATCTTTGATTAGGTCAATGTCGCCTTTGGCTTCCTTGCCGGGCTTGCTGTTTCTGCCGAGGGGTGCTTCGTCGTCCCTGGCTATTTTCTCTTCTGTAACCTCCGCCTCCATGTTGCATCAAGAAAATGATGCTTTCGTTCTCCTTTCTCATCTTGACTTCTCCCAGTGGCCCTATCTTCGCCCCGCTGCACGTGATCGAGTAGCCTGCCATTTTGGGTCGAGGGAATTGGCGCCGACTTCGCTTCTCATCCGCCCCAGAGGCCGGTCGGGAATAGCCCGTCTGTTGGCTGGGCTCTGCTCCTTAACCGGTAGCCAGGTTGAAGGTGCAGACTGCGAAGGTTTTTCCCGTGCATTTTGATTTTAAGTTAGTGGCAGAGTGGAGAAGGTCAACGAGAAGTGTGCCCCTTTTACTGTCCGATTAAAGTCCCTGGTGTGGCCTGGGATCCAGCGTCGTCTGTGAGGCCTGGAAGGTGCTCAAGGGCATCTTCCTGCCGGAGGCGGTGTGGGCTGCCCCGTGGCCCAGGCGGGAAGACGATGAGGTTAGGCGGTCGGCAGAGGCTCAGGTGCCGAGCGGAGCGAGACGCTTTCCACCCACAGTGGCCCAAAATAGAGGGACGCTGGCCCTCGTGGGAAACCCGTCTGCTTGTGAAAACTGCTTCAACTGGCTGACCCCACTGTCCGTTCGCTGCTTTGTCCTAGGGGTGGGTTGGTTGTAAAAGTCTCTTACCGTTGATTTTCGCAGAGACATTTCCTTAAATGAATTACCGTGTATGTCGTGGTATAAAATATTTGTTTATTCTTTCCAGCAAGAATTTATGGAATGTCTGTGAGGTTGGGCTGGGATTCCTGGCACTAAATGAAAGGGACAAGTCCTCGGTCTCCCGGTGATTGTGTGGAAGAGCCAGACGAGAATAAATATGTGTTAGTCGGTGAAGACTGGCATCGGTTAGGAAGTTATTGTGATAATCCAGGCTGTAGTGATAGTGGTCTGGGCCAGCGTGGTCTTGACTGAGGTGATGAAAACAGAATTGAATTCTGGACATATTTTAGGAGCTGAGCTGATAAGATTTGTGGATGTGTTAGATGTGGTGTAAGAGGTAAAGGAGACATCGTGAGCAACTTGGAAAAACTGAATTGTAGAAGAAGCGATTTTGAAGGCAGAAGTCAGCAATTTAGTTTTTCAGTTGTTGAGTTTGAAATCTTTATATTAGACATGCAAGTGGAGATGTTGAGTAGACAATTAGATCTAGACCCTGAGGTTCAGGGAAGAAGTGTGGACTAGAGATCAATCTGAGTCATCAGGATGGTGATAGTATTTAGAGCCGTGAGATCTAGAGATTAAGATGGCACTAAACAGTTGTCAGGGTCTCATCCTTTACAGCCCTACAGATTGTATGGAGATCTTGTTGTCTTGTTTTCCTTAGTTTTTCGTTTTGTGGTGGTTTTTTTTTGTGGTTTTTGCTGAGGAAGATTTGCCCTGAGTTAACATCCATGGCAATCTTCCTCTATTTTTTAGGATGTGAGCTGCCAGCACAGCATGGTAGCTAACAGGTGTGTAGGTGGGTGCTGGTCTGCACCCAGACACAGAACCTGGGCTGCCTAAGCAGAGTGTGCTGAACTTAACCTCTAGACCATCAGAGCTGGCCCTTATTTTCCTTACTTCTTTAAAGAGCAAGCTAGTGTATTCAAATTGCAGACTCTATTCAGAGGGGGAAAAATTTCCAAGTCAAATAAAGAAATGAGCTATTTTGCAGAGCAAATAATCACTCATCTAAAAACATCTTTCATTCATTTAACTGATTTTTTTTAAAAAAATTATAACCTACTTAATGGGAAAGTAGGAGGCAGGAATTCATAAAGTTCTGTCAGCTGGAAATCAATTTAAAACTCAGTGTATCTTCTTACAGTCACTTAGGCCCGACTCCAGTCTTTCCTCAATGGTACAGTCACAGATACAAACTAGTTCATGCTACTATCTTCCCTCTCCCCACCCCCTTAAGACATTTAAATGGTTTTTAATGGCACTTAAGATAAAATATAAAATATTTAATGTGGCCTATAATAAGGTGCAAGGTCTTGCCCCTACCTACTTCTTTAGTCTCGTATCACACTGTGCCCTCCCTAGACATACTGGTTTTGTGTTAGGTCTTCCAGTGAGTGATGCTCCTTTCTGCCACAGGGCCTTTGAACATGTTATTCCCTCTGCCTAGAACAATCTCCATCCCTACCTTCCTCCTTCTGATCTAAATTCTGCTGTCACTTTCCCCGAACTTCTGGAATGAGTTATTCTCTCTGTTATGGTTTCCCTGTACTTCTTCTCATGCCATATACCACAATAATTTTATATTTGTTTTTGTGATTTCTCCCCGCCCCCCCCATGAGACTGCAAGTTTTATAAGTCAGGAATAGGGGTGTTTTCTTGGTGATGGTGGTTTGAGTTGTTTGTGTTTGTGTTTTCCTGCCTCATTGCCTGACACGTCACCTGGCAACATGATACAGACATCACTCATGGTTTCTCTAGCAAAAGTAATTATTTCAAGACTTAGGAGTATGATGACATAAGCAGAGCTCATCATAGTCCTTCTGTGAAATTGATGCATGGATGCTGGAGTGCAGCATTTGTCCTTTGGCCAGGATTGTTAGAGATAAGAGGATGTGCTCCTGACTCCAGACAACCATCTTGCCTTCCGTTTGGAGAGAGATTGTTAATAGAAAGAAATCAAGCAGACATGAGAGGGAGTGTGTTTGGGGGCATTGAGTCTTGGTTCCAGTCCCTGATCCTGGTACCTAATGCTTTTCCTTCAATTTTGAGGATTATCTCATTATTCTTTCCAGCAAGTAAGTCAGTATGTTCCTTTTGCTTAATCTAGTGGTCCCAGAACAAAAACCCATTCGTTCCAACAAAAGCCCTGGAAAGTAATCTGACTAGTTTATGTCATATGCCAATGGCCATTCATTGTGGCCAAAGGGGATAGAATATGCTGGTCGGCCAGGTCTCTGTCATAGACCCATAGTGGGAGAAGAGGGGCTTCACCTAAACTGTATGAATTGAGTTTCTACACTCCGCCAATTAGGGGGATGTAGTTCCCCAAGAACTAATAAGGGAATTGTTACCAGATGAAGGGGATGGATGTTGGGCAGGTAGGGTAGGCCGAAAAGTGTTCCCCCCAATGATACTGATGTCAAATATTTGTGGATGTTACCATATTTGGAAAAAGGGTCTTTGCAGATATATTTAAATTAAAGATCCTGAGGTGGGAAGATAATCCTGGATTATCCAGGTGGGCCCCAAATGCAGTCACATATATCCTTATAAAATAGAGAAAAAGAGACAGACAGGGAAGGAGGCAACGTGACCACAGAGGCAGAGGCTGGAGTGATGTAGCCACAAGTCAAGGAATGGTGGCAGCCACTGGAATCTGAAAGATGCAAAGAATGGATGCTCACTCACAGCCTCCAGAGACAGTGCAGACTCGCCCATACCGTGACGTCAGACTTCTGAGAGTGGCACAAGAACACATTTGTTTTAAGCCACCCAGTTTCTGATGATTTGTTACAGCAGCCACAGAAATGAATCCAGCAGGTTAAAACAACAGATACTGACTGTGCATTATCTGTCTCCATGTATCTTCCAATCTAATGTCGGGGAGAACAGCTACATTCAAAGAACAGCTGAGGATGTTCAGGAGGTTAGAGAGGGCTGAGTAAACAGCCTCTCTGGGGACTAAGCAGCAGTCATTGCTGTGAGGGGAGAAGTCAGGAAGAGCTTCTCCAAGACATGTCTTGAACATAATCATAAAGAAAGTGAGGGATGTGTTATGAAAAGGCAGACAGTCATTAAAGCGAGGGGAGACGAAAGGTCAGAAATGGAACAGGACACAGTCTTGTGTCTACAGAAGGCTGTCCAGAGTAAGGTGACAAAATGAGTTCATATAAATAGTTGGGCCTTGAGTGCTGGACGAGAGAATTTAAATTTGAACTAAGAAGGGCTAATGAATCAGGTTCTTAAATAGTTATAGGTTGGAGGAAAAGAAAAATCAACTCCCATGTATTAGTTTCCTATTGCCACTGTGACAAATTACCACAGACTTAGTGGCTTGAGACAACAGGAATTTATTCTCTACAAGTTCTGTAGGTCCGAAGTCCAAAACGATTCTTCCAGGAATAAAATCAAGGTGTTGGCAGGGCTGGTTTCTTCTGGAGGCTCCAAGGGAGCATCTAGTCTTTACCTCTTCCGGCTTCCAGAGGTTGCTGGTATTCCTTGGCTCACAGTCACGTTGCCCCAGTCGCTGCTTCTGTTGTGGGAATGCCTTCTCTAATTTTGGTCCTCCAGCTTCTCTCTTCTAACAACCTTGTGATTACATTGGGCCCAACCAGATATTTCAGGATAATCTCCCCATCTCAGGATCCTTAATCACACCTGCCAGTCCCTTTTGCCATATAAGTAACATTCTGGGGATCAGAGCATGGACATAGTTGGGAGGTCATTATTCAGCCTATCATATTCCATTACAAAAAAAAGAAAGAAAACCCAAAGATTTGGACAATGACATTCTTTTTAAACCGTGGCTGAATTTGCAGGAAAGTAAGGGATAGCCCCAAAGTGGGAAGCAGAAGTGGAGAGAGGGCTTATGTTGGTGATGGTAAAGAATATTAAACTGAAGCTAGAACAGTCATCAGTTAGTAAAAGCAAAAGCCAGGATTTCTCTAAGCGCAAGTGCTAATGCCAGTCCTAGGACTGAGAGACTAATCAGGGAGCTTTCTAGGGCCTCTTTCATGAGGGCACTAATCCCATGCCGGATACCTTCCAAAAGGCCGTACCTCAGAGTACCCTCACATTGGGGATTCAGATCTCAACATAGGGATTTGAGGGGAACACAAACATTCAGACCGTAGAAGTTACCTTCCTTGGCAAAGGGGATTTTCCAGATGTGATTAAATCAAGGATTCTGAGATGAGGAGATTATCCTGGATTATCTGGG